CGTGCCAGAAGTGGACGGACCAGTCACCGCACACGCACGATACGTTTGACGGGGGTTCCGGTACCAACGCGGCCCACGCTGGGGACCACAACTTCTTGCGGCACACACTGGTATCTTCTTCGACACAGTCGTCGATTTTTTGTTACACTTCGGACCCGAGCTTGAGAACGGGCGACGGGTTGCCGTTGGAGGATCCCTTGGTTCGCAAGCGACAAAGTCCGTGCGACGAGACGCTAAGAGGCGCGGGCACAGCTTACGTGGGGTGCCAGACCCGGACGCGGTCCGGGCGAGTCTGTCAGAAGTGGACGAGCCAGACCCCGCACGACGCAAGTTCGTTTAAGTCCGTTGGGGACCACAACTACTGCCGCAACCCCGATTTTCCGCGACCCGGGGACACAACTGACAATCAACCCACGATCTGGTGCTACACTCTGGATCCGAACGTGCCGATCGAGCTCTGCGATCCCGTTGGGGCCGAGAAGCGACAAAGTGCTTGCGACGAAAGGATTCCGAATAGTCCCGGGGACGGCAGCGGCTACGTTGGGTGCCAGACCCGAACGAGATCCGGGAGGCAGTGCCAGAAGTGGTCAAGTCAGAGTCCTCATACGCATTCCCACGGCGTAACGGGCGATCATAACTACTGTAGACACGATACGGCTCATGGCGCCGTGGAGACGATCTTTTGCCTAACTACTGACCCTATGCATTGCAAATATGTCGGGGTCTGGAAAATAATTGGAACTTGTAATGCTAGCTAGTCTTGCAACTGGAACTGTCATTACGAAGATGCAGCTTCTCTTCATGCGCAAGGCAACGCCTACGGGAAAGCGTTCCGCAAACTTCTCATGCTTGGCTGCATTTTTATTTCGGAAATGTTTTCATCATCCACAGTTCCGCGTCACAACTTTCTAGACCCAGACATACTTGCATTCGATAGACCCGAACGTGAGGTTTGAGTATTGCGACCCCATCGGGCAGGATATGAGGTTGCCCAACGCTCCGTCCCCCTCATTTGTCATGCAAAATACCAAACCCAGGCTGTGCCTCTTGGCACTGTTTGCATGACAAGTTCATCTCGGGGATGAAGATATACTCGCGATACCTTTCGCGGTTCTGACCCTAGATCTCCTGCGGCCGTAGCTGCTTGCGGCGACGGTGCAAAGGTTTTTGATGTGGTGCAGTCGGGTATGCAGGACAAGTTCATCTCTTCTGGCAGCCGAAATGGCACTACTCTCCTGTGCAAATTTATCATGCAAAACCTGCGTTTTTGCATTTGCTAATGCTCGTATTGCCGTTCATGCTATAATACAAATGAGGGGGCGGAGGGCGAGTTGTGCACTCTCATACAGGATGAACCGCTCCCAGAGCAAATGCCTCAGCATGACTTGGAGTGCCCAGATTACTTTCTCGCTTCCCAGGCTCCGAGCGGCCTCGACGAGGCCTGCGAAACGGTCAGGTTCGAGAAGGAGTATGGTACGAAGCGAGGGCTCCCCCTCGCGACGCCGATCTCGGAAACGTATCAAATCACGGTGGACTGCTCACGAGCGAGCCCCGGGCAGTACCTTCTGTTGCAGTGGCCCTCCTTGTATCCAGTGCAAATGTATCGTATATATAAGTACATGAACTCGTATGAATTGCATTCAGTCAACATGCATGACACATATTGATATCTGTCCTTGTTACCTCCAATTTCCAGCATGACAAACTCCATTTTTGCTCTTGGCAGAATTTGTGATGCAATCCATACTAGTAGTACGATTACGATATTACTCTTGCAAGTCATACCTTGTTTGACGACCTGCACGGCCGCGTCGCGGGGGAGGTGCTGGAGGTGTCCGTGGAAGGGTCGCGCCGGGGCGTATCTTCCTGGTCGTCCAAGGGAGGAGGTGCTGGCACAACTACCACCCTACGTCGAGAGGACCAGGTGGAGCCCACACAGGGCCTTGGTGGCTGCTACGCGTCGTGTGGTCAAGAGGGGGGATGGTGTACCTTTTGCGACGACGTGGAGCGCGGAGTTGCCGGCGCCTGCTGCAAGTGGGGCGCGGGTCCCCGTGATCCCTGCCTCGTCTCGGCGGGAAAGCCAGTGCCCGTGGATGTGTTCCAGCGCACGAGCGACTTCGTCTGTATCATTCCCCCGGAGGCGCGCGAGTACCCGAAGCCGGCGCTGCGCGCTGGTACCGGGCGGGCCTGCCCGGGCAGCTGCACGAACAACGCGCTCTGCGCGGCCTGTGACACGGCAGAGGGACACCCCGGGGCTTGCTGCCGTTGGAGCACGGTGGCAGACGGGACCGTGACCACGGGGCCCTGCCCGGCCATCCCCCGGGCGGCGTACGTGGGCTCCGTAGCCGAGCACCAGTGTGTGGCTGCGCCGCACGCGGTGGACAGCGGTTCGCCGAGCCTCTCCGATGCCGCCGCCGGCCGTGCAGATCTCGTGGAGGACCAGGCAACCGGCCAAGTGTTCGAGAAGCTCGGACAGAAAATTTACGCGGCGCACGATTATCACAGGTTGCGTGGGCGCATGCAGGTGGTAACGGATACGCATGCGCGAACCGACGGATCGCAGGTGCAAGGACACGAATTCCGAAAATATCTTGCAGTTCCAAACCGGGCAGACAATGTACAACTTATGCCGGCGGATCAGTTCTCACCGGTCGCACCGGAATACACGCACCTCGGCGAACTCGGGATGGCCTCCTTTCTCGTTTACAACGCACACAGCACTTCGGTTTCCAATTGTCAATACAAAATTCAAGCGCGGGTCACGACTGTGAATAGCATCAACGATGCGGATTTTACAACCGAAGCCTGTGAGATAAATTTCCGCTTCCCCTATGGCGTCTTCGGAGAATGCCAAAGACGAGCTCTCGACGACAGCCTCTACGTCTGGTGGGACTCCGCTGCCGACTCTCTCGCGGATTGGGCTGACAAAGAAGATTATACAGCCCATACATTTGGAAACGGCGGCGCAGACCATGGACGAACGGACTCCGAAGCAAACACCTACGCTACAGTCACTCTACCGTCCGACAAAGTAGGGATCGCGGTCGCGCTTTCGCCGGGCCTCCACGAGCTGCATGTGGGCAATCGGGAGGACGGGCTGCAACTCGCGACCGTGGAAATTTCGGGCTGCGCTGCAAACCAGGTTTTTTTCGTGCGCGAGCGCCTGGGGAAGGAAGAAATCTCTCGGTTCACCCGCGCCGATGCGGTGCACACCTTCTATCACTCCGGGGTCTACCAACTCACCCTGACTGGGCAGTTTCAGGATGGATGGGAACGCCCGCACGCGAAGTCGGTAAACGCGGGCGAGGTGCAAAACTTCTACGATGCCCTGGGAATGCAGGTCGAGACCGTTGGCGCCCTGGGGGGCGTACACAACGAAGACTTCGCGAAGGTTTTCAACGCCAACCTTTTCAGCCAAGCGATGAAAACGGTGGATGCGCATCACTTGGGGGCTTTGCTCCGTCGCCACCGCCAGCAGGCCGATCTCGAGTATGCGCGCGCGCGGCGGGATGACGTATGCATTGCAAAAATGTTTGGGTCTGGAAGATTCTAAACTTGTATGTAATGCTGTCTCTGGATTCTAAGAAAATCAAAATTTGTATTGCATGATGACCAGCAAGAGGACTCCAGTTTGTGCTACGCGGAAAGGAAGTTTCTCATGCGGTAGAGGCATCGCTAAGTCCTCTAAAAATCTGTGATGCTAGGGCATGCATCACAGACATCATGGATCATTCAAAATATGCATGACAAACCTGGCAATCTTCCAGACCCAGACATTTTTACATCTGATAGGACGAGGAGGAGAACAACGTGGACGACGCGTACGTGGAAGACGCTTTGCGGTCCAGCCCGGTGCTTCCCGCCCCGTCCAGGTACCAGTTCCTTTCTCTGCATGGACTTTATCCTGTGTAAATAAAACGTCCCCAGCACCCCATAGTCAAGATGGGAAATCTGCTATACAAATCAACCAGCGTTGGTGGTTTCGCATGACAAGTTTGCCCTCTTGGTGTAATTCTGTCGAGCTAGTTTAGCAGCGTCACAGATCTAGCATATAGCGCTGATTCTGGCATCACAAGTTCCAAAACACGACTGGAAAAAGCTTCTCATGGGGCTCCGCGTGAGAAGCTTTGTTGGCATGCAGATTTGCATTGCAAGAGCCCTAGGGTGGCGACGTTTTTGCTCAGGATAGACTTTTCGAGAACTTCGTGGAGCTGACCGAGGTGGACCTGGCCCCGCTCTCAAGTGGTATCGGAGCAGTAACGGACCTGTCTAACTTGTTTCGCGGCTGTACTAAGTTGCGTACCGTGCGGGGCCTGGAGCGCTGGGAGACCGGCAACGTGAAGACGGTAGCGCAGATGTTTGACGGCTGCACGAGCCTCACCTCGGTGAGTGGGATTGAGACGTGGAACCTCGAGTCCTGCCGTAACACCAGTGGCATGTTCCGCGATGCTGTGGTGCTCCGCGCGCTGAACGTGACCGCGTGGCGGTTCCCCGTCGTGGAGGACATGCGGGGGATGTTTCAGCGCTGCGCGTATCAAAAGGAAAAATCCCCCCTCCTCATATCAAAACGGAAATCTGTGATGCAGATTCGTGGTCACAAATCAGCTCTGTCTTGCAGTAGAGGACTGCCGGCCCACATCAAGCCTGAGTGGGAGAGGTTTTGGCCTAGGCGCTCAGCATGACAAAAGTCCATGCTGTAGGCCCAACAGCATCACAAACCGCCGGTATAATGCGGAAGGCCTTCTGGATTTGCCTTTTTGCAAGACAGAGGCGATGTGTGGCCACAAATCAGCATCGCAAGAAATTTCCGAAAGTATACCTTTTCGGTATGGGGAGGGGGGATTTTTCCTTTTGATAGCGCGCGCATCAACCCCTGTGTCACGTGGTGGGACGTGGGCTCCGAGTCGCTGCGCGGGGCCGGAATAGTACCTCCGATGACTGTCGCGACGGAGACCCAGGTGAGCGGGGAGTTGTTGCCTCCCGCCGGCACTTCCCTGAACTGCGACGAGACGCTCCTCCCGGGCCTCGAAAGCCGGTTTTACCGCGGCTGCCAGAGCCGCACCATCTCGGGAAAAACGTGCCAGAACTGGAGGACACAAACTCCGAACACACACGACTTGAGCGAGTACAATCACGAAGCGTCGACGACCACTAATCGCAACGCTATTCAAGAAAAAAACACCATCACAATCACTTTTGCACATTTTTGCAGTAGTACAAAAATTTTCGTCATGCGCAAAAAAGCATCACAGTCATAGAGTTATAGGCGATTTTTTCCCTTTGTTTTTTTGCAATACAAGAAAAATTTGTCATGCAAGACAAATTTCTGATGCAAAGCCTCCTAAATGTGATTGCGATGGCGTTTTTTTCTTGGATAAACGCGGGATTGCAGGGCCTGGGAGACCACAACTACTGCCGAAATCCGACCCGCCAGGAAACAATTTGGTGTTACACGACGGACACAGCCGTTCGGTTGGAGCGATGTGTGCCGCTCACCGTACCCGACGCAATCCGGGCGCCCCAGAGTCAGAAGCTCAACATTGCCAAAGTACTAACATCAACTACAGGTGGGGACGAACCAGCGCAGCCGCGGAACCGCTTGGACATCAGCTACATGTTTGATGGAGCGACGTGCGCGACCCCCAACGTATTCCACTGGGGCGGGCAGTTTCAGCAGCGGTTTCTCGAGGAGGTCAACGACCCAATCCAGGACCGGGACCACGATCTTCACGGTCGCGACGCCCACCACGAGCACTGGTCCGAGGCAGAGTACGTCGACTTCGTGACGACGGTCGTGCTTCAAACTTGTAGCAATGAGTTTAACAGCGACAGCGGTAGCGCGAACCCGGTCACGGTGACACTGCGGGCCGAAACCTTAGAGGAACACACCCTGACCTTCACGCTGCAGTCCCCGGGAGAGGTACAGCAGCAAAACTTCGCCACTCCGGTGCCGTTGCGAAGAGGTGGCGGGGCGCACCTCCTGCACCTGACTTTTTCACAGACTGACGCCGACACCCTTTGTCTGTCGAGTATCAGATTAGGCCCAGGTCTCGAACTACTCGGCGAAGAATTGTGGCTCCTTGGCGATCCCTTTCGCTATCCGCTACCTTTCATGATTCGCAGCCCGCAAGACGTAGTGGAGCAGACTGCGCCTGCAGCAACACCAGTGACCGTGACGCTGGACAGTTGTAGCCACCCGGTTGCTGGCGGCGTTGGGAACATTGGCCTACTTGTGAAAACCACTACTGGCGAGGAGGCGAGCGGAAGCGTGGCGACGCCTGCTACTAACGGCGCCATAGCACAGCACACTTTTACCGCACTGCAAGTCCCGACTGCAGCCGTGGCCTCGGTCGCTCTAACGTACGAAGGAAGCAACAATTTTTGTTTTCAGCGCCTCCGTGTGAACGAGCGCACGTGGATCTCGGACGTGGCGATGTGGTTAGAGAACCCTTGCGAGCCAGGGCAGTTTGATGATATAGCAAGCCCGGGCGCCACACCCGCTGCTGGCCACTCTTACATGGGATGCTACGGCAATGGAATCACTATACACCTGGGCATGCTGTTATGAAAGTGCACAACTCCTCCTCGCCCTCATCTGGAGTGCATTTCATCTAGCAACAGAAACCACGACTTCAAAATTGCAGTCTCTGCATTAAAAACGGAGCAATATACGGTTTGGGTTCGCAGAGCTTGTCATGCAAGCACAGCCAAAAGTTATAGTCCACTCAGACGGGATTTGGCATTTTTGGGTTACAAATGAGGGGAAGGGGGAGTTGCGCACTCCCATAGCTGTCTCGTCGTCCTCCGGCTCCAGAGACGGTGGGGGCCCACCACTGGGCCCGAAATGCCGGGCGGCTATCGGACTGCTTGGGGCTGGAGGAGTTGTATGATACCACGAGCGACGGCGGGGTTGGACGAGACCTACAGTGTCCGTATGACACTCCCTTTCGTGCGATTGTTACCACAACGGTTGCCGATCAGGAAGTTGCTCTCCCCATCGATTTTTCTCTCCCAAGCAACGCGTTTACCGTTTATTGGGGCGATGAATTTACCAGCGTGGGCACGTCTGCAGATGTCCTGGCGGAGGAGCGCCGCACCGGGTCCCCGGATGTCCGGCTGGATGCCACCTCACGTGCGACCCACAACGTTGCAGAGCTAGCGGGTGACTTCTCGGGCGCCCTGGGGCACAACGTGTTTGCGCTTGCCGACCGGGTGATTACGAACAACGCTGGGCCGGGCAGTGCGAGCGCCCCAGGTGGTAGTTACAAGGTTGAAATAGGACCACCTCCTGGACCACCAGCGATATCTGCAGATGCGATCAGCGCTGCACCCTACGGAAACGTGTTCGAAGTCATGAGGCACAACCTTCCGACGCCGATGCGGCTTCATCCCAGCGAGCTGCAAAATGGGGCGGTCCCACTCACCATCGATGGGCTTGAGCATGATGTTCCAGTCTCGAGCGGCAGCTTTGTAATCGCACACGAGGATGAAGACGACCTTCTGCTTGGTCACGTCGAGGCTGCCACGTCTGCCACGAATTCCGACCCATCTTCTACCCAGCACCTCGCCAAGTACGCGGTCCGACACGCGCCCGCGCGCGCGAGTCAACTGCCCCCGTCTGTTGCCGATGAGGCTGGGATGCCCCAGCACGCGGACCAGGATAACTGGGCAACGACTGCCACGGCGACCCCCGACGCGAGGAAGGGCCTTCGCGAGGACGCAGATTTGGTGCGCATCACAGTGACGCACCGCGCGCGCGCGGAGCGGGTCCCTTCGACCGAAAGGACCGCGCAGCCAAGCCTCCAAGTCGTGGACCGACTTCTCTACCCGAAGGATTACGTAGCGGACTTCAAGGTGAATCACAACTACATTCCACTCTCTCAGATGCATCAGCCGCTGTTCTATGCATTGCAAATATGTCTGGGTCTGGAAACGTGTGATGCTACAATGTGGATGATGGAAACACTGTCGAAGGCAGCCCAGTATGACAACTTTCCAGATGAAAGCTTTCTCATAGGTGGTCCGCATGAGAATCTGCGTTTTTGCATGACAAACATGGCTGCCACTTTTGTTGGTTATGCAATACAGATCTCCCAGGAAAAATGTAGAGCTAGCATGACAGATTCCAACTTTCCAGACCCAGACATATTTGCCTTTGATACGTTCGATGGGTCCAATCCGTGTCCGGGGTTAGTTTCCGCTCGCAACCCGCACCCCGCCGCGCGCAAGACCTGCGGGCCCAGCGTGGCCACCTTTGCCTACCACGGAGACGCGGCGCACATGCCCTCCAGTTTGGCATCGTGGACGACGCCCGGGGCGCCAGATTGCCAAGCGGCATGCGAGCGGCACCCCAGCTGCACCGGCTGGCAACATGAGGCGGCTACGAACACGTGCCAGCTCGTGTCTCCCCAGCTGCACGACCAAGCGAGCAATGCGCAAGGCACGACGGGACACGAAGGCTTTCAAGGCGCCTCCTGTGCCATTCCGCCTAGTCTCGCCGAAGCCGCGGCGCGGGCCTACGGAGACCCCGAGCTCCACGAGGACGGCCGCGGCCGCAGCAGCCGGAGTCGAATCAAGCCCGTGGATATCCAGGAAAAAACACCCATCCCCATGATCCAATTTGTCATGCAAAAAATGCATCAAGTTCAAGGGCAGTTTTCTTTGTCATGTGCACTACATGATGATGATGATGATGATGCACCCATCTGGGGATGGGTGTTTTTTGCTGGATAGTAGAAGGCGCGGTCCGCGTGCTGCCGGCACAGCGTTCGACTGAAGAGGAGGCCGGTTCGGTTGTGCTGGCGGCAGCTCTCGCGACCGAAGCGGACGCGATGACGATGGTCCAGGCTCGCAAGAATTGCGAAATGAGAACCGGCGAAACCGCCACTACCGATGGCGCCCAGGACATTTCAATTTCTTCCGTCGCGACCCCGGAAGAATGCCGGAGGCGGTGCGAGGCTCATACTCGTTGCACCAGCTATGGGCACTCGACCGCCACGTCTCAGTGTGATCTAAAGATTGCCACCGATGTCACGGGATGGGTCTCTAACGCGGCTTACTCGGGGGGACTCTGCAATGCCATGGCGGGTATCCAAGAAAGCATATCGCAGCAGCAAGCGGGCGCCTCGCGGGACCACAACTTCGTCTGCAACGCATTCAAAGCGCCCGTTGCTGCCGATGCGGATCCTGCGTACGCACATTCTGCCAGCGAATGGGGCAGCGATTTTCTTTTCTACGATGTGCCGGACGACGTCGACCATTTAGTACACTGGGAGAGCACGTTTTCCCAATCTTTCGTCGGGTCGAGCGCCCACTTTTTTCTCCGGTACGAACCGGGGGAGACCTGGTCCGAGCAAGATCACAGCTATGACGCTGGGCAGCCGAGCCTGAAAATTTTCACGGACCACACGAGTTCGGGTAGGTGGACGTTGAAGGATGATTCCGATCTGAAGCAGCGGGAAACGGACGGCGCGGCCAACGCACTGACCACGACGTGGGGCATACAGGCGGACCACGAGCCGGAACGGCACACGTTCGCGTGGTCATTTGCGGACGCCGATTTGGGCACGGTATCTGGGGTTTTGGATCGGGCCACGGCTTTGTTTGGATCCTCCCACCTGCAGCTCCGCAAGGCCGGGGCTTCCCCGTCGTCTGCCGCGCAGGCGGCGGGGCCGCTTCGCTTGGACCGCGGAGCCGTGCGCCGCTTCACCCGTATCGGGTACTACCCCGGGAAAAAGCTCGTAGAGGACTTCACCCTCAGCCGCGTCGAAGCGAAGCTCGCGCTTCTGCCCCGGGACCGGGTGGACTACCAAACCGCGTACACGGCCGGTGCCGCGCAAAAGCTGAACCACACCGGATACGGCTGGGAAGTCGAGGACGTGCGGACCATCTCGGCCGACTACGCGCGGCGGTACCGCGCCATAGGAGGTCCGCCACCTACGGAACGCAGGATCACCGTCGGCGGCCAAGAGTTCGTGTCGGATGTAGCGGACTACACCGAGCCCGAGGAGGAGAGCGACCAGGTTCGGTTCGCGGCCTCGGCGCGGGCCCTGGGCGAGATGGTTGAGGAGGGGACGGTATCCTGACCAAAAACGTCCCCACTCCAGAGTCTGTCACGATGGGCAAGCTGCTAAGTAGTAGACAAATCACTCAGCTTTCTTGCCTGTTGCGCATAACAAAAAAATCCTGTTTACCTACTTGTCTTCAGCAGGTGCAGGATTACAAATGTATACTAACATTATGCTGATTCGAGCATCACGATCACAAACCCCAAAGAATGATGACGATGGCCCTGGTGGTCCGTCTGACTCCGTGCATTGGACGCCCGACCATCTGCGGAAGGGGAACATGCAAGGCGCGTTTGTACTAATTTCGGTCGGTTTAAGCATCACAAACAACAAAACACAACTTCAATATAGAAAGTGCTTCTCATGGTGCTCCGCATGAGAAGCATTGATTCTAAGCAAGCAGATTTGCGTGACAACTCTGAGGCGGGGACGTTTTTCCACAGGTTAGACGGGCTTGAGTGTGCGCGAGCTGGTGCTCCCTGCGAAGGGTAACGTGGTTACCTGGGGCTTCGTGCAAAGTAGTGGCGACGTCTATTGGTCAACTACCCTGCAGGAAGATGCCGCGGACGGTTGGCTCGTCTCCAAGGCCAACCACGATGGTACAGCGACGACTGCGGGAAAGATCGAGCTTGAGCCGAGCAGTGGTCGGCCCGAACCCAATGCAGAATCGTACACCGCAGCGTTCGGAAGCAGCACGGACGTCACCCTTTCCACCTCCTGCCCGGCGGCCGGGAGCAGCTTCCATGCCACGATTGTCGATGGTTCGCCTGCGACGGTCGGGCACTGTCCAGAGAAGGCGAGGATTCTACCGTGTCCGGCCGGGGCGTGTACAGCATACACCATTTACCACGCGGGTAGCGAATGTCAGTGCACCAACGGGGAACCTGCCATTTTCCCGGCGTGCGCACGGGTCTCGCTGAAGAGGCGCGCAAACGCTTGCCGCAAGTGCAACGACGGGTTTCTGCTTGACCCCCGCACTCTACGATGCGAAAAGCCGCAGCTTCGCCACGTGTTTCGGAGCGCCGGGACGTACCATGTGACGATTCGAGGTAAAATCGCAGGGTGGCTTGGTGCCTCCTTTGCCACCCCGGACGGCTCCAGTTCTGCGCGGAACTCGCCGTGGTCAGAAGTGCTTGCGCTGGGCCGCAGTCGCCGCGCGCTGGTGCCGGGCCTGTTCCGGGGGAGCCAACACCTAGAAACGTTTGTCGCCACAGATGCCGCCTTTACGCGTCTTCGGCAAGAGCTGTCGACTGCCCACGAAACCGTGACTGCGAGCCAGCAAGGAGGAGGTCCGGCGCCGCTCCCAAGCCTCGCAGCGTCGCCATGCCAGTACTCGCTCCGAAGCATGTTCGCAGGGGCCACCAAGCTGACTGCCGTAGACGTTGGCTTTTTGCCGCCTTTAGAGCCGCGCTCAGCTGCAAAAACCCACCAAGGACAAGGATTCCTTGGTGGAGCGGGAGCGGCCGCCTCTGCTTCTGTCCCTGGCCCCGGTACTAGAAGTTCTTGTGCCCCTCTCCGACAGGTGGAAAATGTTTTCAGGGGCTGTCAGGAGCTAACAAGTGTGCGCGGGCTGCATACGTGGGATGTATCTGGCGTTGCATCGCTTGCCGGCATGTTCCGGGACTGCAAGAAGCTCACGATGCTGGGGGAATCCGGGCTGGTCGCAGACCCGGACGTGGCCGGAAACGAAATCTTGCGCGTCGTCTATTGTGAGGAAACATCCCCCCTCCCCGTACTGAAAACGCATCCGGTTGCAAATTTGTATATGTAGGTTTGTGACCACAGAGACAGATCCTGTCTGTCTTGCAAGGAGGCAACTCCAGAGAGTCCGCCTCTTTATGCAGGCGGTTTGTGATGCTGTTGGGCTTACAGCATAGACATTTGGCGCCATGCTAGGCGCGGGCGCCTACGTCAAAACCTCTCGACTCAGGCTCGGCATATGCCTGCGGTGCTCAACTGCAAGACAAATCTGATTTGTGTGTGGAAGTCCACCATCAGAAGCCTCGCTTTGATATGGGGAGGGGGAGTTTCTCCTTTCGATATCGTTCAGCCCGGGGTGGACAACTGGAATGTCTCGGGTGTGGGCTCTTTTAACTCCATGTTCCGTGGTGCAGAGAGCCTCAGGTGGGGCGCCAATGTGACCGCGTGGGACGTGTCCCGGGGGACCGATTTTCGCCACGCGTTCAACCTTGCGAAGCAGCTGGCGCCGTGCGTAACGGATTGGCGCGTGGCTGGGTCCATGATGTATGTCCCCGAGAATACAACTGTCGGCAGTGCCGCGCGTGAAGCTGTGGCGCGCACGCTCGGCGAGACGATCGCGCTGGTTTTCTCACGGTCGAATTCCATCACCGGACAGAACATGGATGCCCTGCCAGCGCACGGGATTTTGATGAATTCCATGTTTCGCGGCGCCCCCTGCGCCACCCCAAACCTCGCCGGATGGCCCTTGCAAAAGGTGTATTCCAGCGGGGGCACCATGGGAGCCATCTTCGACGAGCCGGATGCAAAAGCCTGGGCTGGTCTGATCGTCGACCGCTGGGCGGAGGGTGCGGGGCGGTTGTCGACGGAATGTGCGAACCTGGACTACCTGTTTGGCGCGATCGACGGCCCGGGCCGCGACCTGCACTGTCCCAGCGACACCCCCTACCGGGCCCTACTCAAGCTTCCCGCTACTGGAACGACCAGCGAGGAACGCACGGTCCGCTTCCCGGTGGCAGACACGGAAGAACCAAACCTGCAGTTTTTCTGGGACGAGGACGACACCCGCGAGGTCCCCTTGTACGATGCCCCCGAGGTGGAGCTGCCGCTATCGCAGATGACCACTTATCATCGAGAGTCCTACGCGGCCCATTTGGGGAAGGATAACCCGTTGCGCTTCGATCCGAACCACGCAAACATGGAAGAGCAGCTTTCCTTCGCGTCTGAGCACGCGAGCGTCACCTCCTGCTACCAGAGCAGGGACTATCAGTATGGCAAATTCTTTCTTAATCTGGGGGGGACGTACTCCCTGACCAAGATGATCTTTTGGGTAGGCTATAGTAGTGACATAAGTTACATGAGGTACACACTCGTGGGATACGGAGCCGTAAACTTAAACATCAACTACGGCCAAACGGCAGGGACCGGCACGGTTCATGATCTGCAGGGGAAATCGACTAATCAGATCAGGTTCGGGACCAATCACCGGAACGGAAAGGGAAGAATCTCCGTGTGCGGTGTCCAACTGTTCACACTGGCGACGGACGTTGTCGGAAATCTGTTGAAGTATTGGCGACCGCTGCAGAGCCCGTTGACGGTGGAGCACACGTATGACGCCAGTGCGTTGGACAGCACCCGCCAGGTCGTCGTGCGTGGGCGGTTTCGGTCGACATTTTTGACGGACGAGGAGATTTCCCAACTGGCGGAGAGTGACCAGGCCAAAATAACCAATTACAAAACGATGCAAACCACCGTGCTCTCGCGGGGTCGGAGCAAGGCCACGCAGCCGCGGCCGCCCCTCAGTGAGATCGAAGAGGTGACGCCCGAGGTGCTGACCGAGCTGGCGACCAGCTTCGCGGCGTCCGGGTCCATGGCGGGGGCGTTTCAAGGCAACGCCAAACTCTCCGGCGCGCTGGACCTGTCTGCGCTCGCCTCGGTGACGAGCCAGATCACCAGCTTCGAGAAAATGTTCGAAGGCGGCACGGCGATCACCGAGCTGGTCGGTCTGGAGACCTGGGACACCTCCAAGGCGAAATCGCTGTCCGGGATGTTCTCTGGCATGGCAAATCTGAACTTGGACGACGCGGTCGCCTCGTGGGACACTTCCAATGTCCAGGACATGACGGGCGTCTTTGCGGGGGCCGCAAACGCGAATCCCAACGTGTACGGTTGGGACACGGCCAAGGTGGCAAGCTTCGCGGGGATGTTTGACGGTTGCGTGGGCCTCACGGGACGGCCCGCGGACGGAGGCGGGCGGCGGCAATTGTCCAGCGCGCTCAGTGGGGGCTCCGGCTCGTCCTCGCCGCAGATGGTGGTGGACCTCAGGAACTGGACGGTGGGAAGCGCGACGGATTTCGGAGCGATGTTCTTGGGGGCTAACCAGTCCAACCCCATCGTGGGCAACTGGGACGTGTCCCGCGGGAAGAACTTCAGCCGCATGTTCGAGGGCGCAACCTCGGCTGACCCCGACACGCAGTATTGGGACGTTTCCAGCGGCGCCGATTTCTCGAGCATGTTCGAGGGCGCAACCTTGGCTGACCCCGACACGCAACGTTGGGACGTTTCCAGCGGAACCGACTTCTCCCGCATGTTCAAGGACGCGACGAGCGCCAACCCTGACGTCCGCGGGTGGCGGGTGGAAGAAGGGCTCAGGTTTTCGGAAATGTTCAGCGGCGCGACGTCCGCGTCGCCCTGTGTTTCCCACTGGAACGTCAGCTTCAACGCCTCCGACTTCGGGGACATGTTTCGGAGTCTCTCTTGTGCTACCCCCAACGTGAACAGTTGGTGGTCGCGGATGAGGGACTTCGTGGCCATCACGAGCTACGACGAGACCACCGCCGAATATGGGTTCCGGTACGGGGGCCTGAACGAGTCTCAGCGTCCGATTCGCTCCGCGCTGGGGACGGACATTCTGGACGATATTACAGTGAAAAATGCCCCCTCCCGCCCAGCACTCGGCAGTATTTGTATATGCAAATCTTTCCAATGGAAACATTCCCCGCCTTCTTGCATATATCAGCATCACAGAGACTCTTACTCCATGCTGAATAGCTCAAATTGGCGTTGCAAAGGAGCCCAACAGCAGGCGGATCTGTTATGCAAAAAAAGATACCTTGCGCAGTCTAGATTTTGCATCAGAAAGACTCGCAGTGCTTTCATGCATAGATAAAAAGCTCTAGCTCTTCATTTGAAAACCTTATGCATGAGAAACGTTTGCAACTTCCGGGGTCGGGGCATTTTTTACTGTAATAGACGACGCGGTCTGTTCGCTGGCGACCGACCAGATCGCGTGCGCCGAGGACGACGCCTTCCGGGTGAAAATCGAGATCACCTCTATGACCTGCTCAAGCGTTACAATCTCAAACGTTACAATAGAATCTGAGATTTGTCTTGCATGATCAACACGACAGACTCGGACAGCATTCCACTTTCTGCAATACAAATTTCGCCAGATTGTAGTGCGGACTGGGACTCCAAAACTTGTCATGCGGAATCCTGTGGGAGTAGGGTGGTAGATCATGCACTTCTTGCAAGACAAATTCCAGATTCTATTGTAACGTTTATTGAGATTGTAACACCTGAGCAGGTTATAACCTCGCCTGGCACCACCGTGCAGCTGCCCCTAAACGTGCCAACCAACTGGGTCAGCGGGTACCTGGAAAACGGGCTCGAGCCGTTCCACGACAACGATTTCACCGTGTTTTGGGGCGACGCGAGCGCGGCGGGCGCC